GCTAGAAACATCTAGCAGATTCCAACTAGAATTTTTCGAGCGCAATAGAGTTAATGGAGGTGTTTTCATGAGTCGTTGAAAAGAGATATTTTATTATTAATAAGTGTCCACAGAATTTAGGGCTATTTAGATTAGAAAATCAAAGCTACTGGAATTCTTAAGTACAGTTAAAAACGTTCATTCTTACTAACCAATTTATTTCTATTTCATTCACACATACTAAAGTTGGACATAATTACTACAATTGAAATAATTTATTTAAAATCTTTTTTTTTAAGTCTTTTTTTTATTCGATTGACTAGAAAAAATATTAATACATTGTTTATGAGCTTTTTCTTAACTCAATTGCATCTGATTTGAATATAATTTCAAAAAATTATATATTTTATCCATAAATTATTTTAAACTGTGATAATAATAATATTATGAATAATAATATTTTATAGTGTGATACCATTAAAAATATGTTTTCACATTTAAGCCAAGAATATATAATAAATGTATCCTGCAATATACGAAAAACTTATTAGTATTATAGATGTTCCGAGTTCAATATACATATTAACAATAAAATTCAAACATAGGAATAATTGGTTTATAATATGAAAATTAAATCAATTTATTTTCTCGTGTAGTAAATATGCATTCAATTTGATTAATACAAATGATTGAGCTTAATCCTTTCTGTTTCAGATTCACATTGAAAAAGATATAAATTAATTAGCATATATTTTAGTGGAATTTTTTACGAAATGATGATTTCCATAAAGAACTTCTGTATAAAACATCCCACACTTCTATAAAATTTATTTCTACTTTTTTTAAAGTTTTGTATCTTTAATCCTCCCACCAGTATTTTCATTTATGGTATTACCATTATAATTGTATGTCGGTTAGATAAATACTTATTAAAAGTATTCCAGCGTAATAATGCGACACAAGGAAGGAGCGAAGCTAATTAGAAGGAAATCTCATAGAGGAATCCAGGAAACGTTGTCGTCAATCGGTCTCGCTTGGTCGGTCGACATTAAAAGCGTTTAGCTTGCATCGAGGAAATACTTTCACGTGAGCAGATGTTCTAAGATTTTCTTCTAAATGTCCGTTGAACTTGGATAGGTGTTCATTTATCATAACTCGATTAATTCCATTTGGAGAAAGGTCAAATAATTTGTGAGACCTCATAAAAGATAATTTGAAAATTTTACCTATTAGATAGTTTGTTATATTTTCAGATCAAATATCTGAACTTACAATTAACTACATTGAAAGGTTTCGACATGGCTCGCAAAGTCACCAGATGTTCGTCCTTCGATTGGCTTCGTATTTTCAAGCATCCTTTTGCAGGATTGAAAATAAGAAGCCTTGCGATATTTTAATAACTTAAGTTGATTAAAATTGTATTTATAATACTATATTTATTTTCTTTCTTATATTCATTTAAAATAATATTTAAATTATAGCTTTTCTATTTAATTTTCCGTACATTTTTCTTTTCAATAGGAAAATGATAGGGGAGCTAATTCTATGAGATTTATTCATCAATTTACGTGTAAATTGTATCACATGTAACAATCTAGTTCGTGACACAAAAATAATCTATCTTTAACTCACTGCTTTGGCATAAATAAGTACTCTTAAGTTCAGAGTTTAGATATGCACTAACCCAGATCTCGAAAGTCGCACACGAATGTCTGCTTGTACAATAACGAGATCAACCATTCACGAGGGTTCTGTGTTAGGCGCTTACGTAGGCGAAGCGTAACTTCGTCGTTCGGTCGAACACTTCCCAGAATCGCATTAAACTTAACTCGTTTCTCTATTTGCTTTTCGTAAGTGAGAGACTTGAAAATGTTCCTCTTTCAAACTTGTTCTTAGAAAATTTGTACTTTTATTTTCAAATTTTAATCTAACACGATCTAATAAAAAAAAAAAGAAATAAGAACGCGATCAAATATGATCCAATATAAATAAAAAAACATTTTAATCTATTACAATTTACTTTCTTTCATTCTTATAAACAAAAATTGTAGAACACCAATTTAAGTAGAAGAACACTAATTTGTAGACTAACAATTTAAATTTAACATTAAGGGCAAACAATTCATTCCGTGATAAAATAAAATAAAATTTGCACCATAAATAATGATACTGTCTTGAATAATGAAAAAATAGAATAAAAAATTTTTTACGATTCATTTTGTATCAATAATTATCATATAAAATAAATCATAAAAAATGAATTTTTCAATTATTCTACTAACAATTACTCATCCTTTTACAATTATCTACGTATTTATAAAATATAGATATATAATTCCTTATAAATTATAGGGAATTATTTCTGTCTTATATGAAAAGGAAAATAATAGACATCTTCGTGAAAACTATTATTCATTAAAACTCATTAAAGTAGTCTCAATTGAATCAAAGTTATCTTTATTGTACAAGTAATCTTAACATAGAGATTTGATACTACAATGATGTTTGAAAGTGAATCAGTAAGAATGAATGTTTCGTGAACGTCGGAGTATTTGAAACGCACACGTTGAACGTCTACGGCAGGAAGGTTCGAATCCCTGAAGGTATTCACGAACCTGAATTCTTCCATTCCTCTTCTCCCTTTGTCCCACCTTCTCGGCTTCTCTCTTTCATGTCTACCCTTCTGCGATTCGCATCCTCTTACTCACTTCGCCGTCTGCATTCTGGAATGTGGTTGTTCCACTCCGTAGCGATACAACTACCGCCTACATACTTACTACGAAGCTTGTCTTACGCTACGATACCTGTGTGTGATGTAAGAAACGTCTAGTCAAATTTACGCGTCTCCAAAGATCACCCATATAATCGGGAAGTATTTGTCGAATTTCCATTTACTTTATTGCTCTTAAATTTATGTTTTCTTTTGATTCAGAAAACATTTCTATTATTTTCCATTAACAATACAAGGTATCACAGGTAGTATCATTTTTATGATCACATTACTTTAATCCTTTGCAGACGAAACTCTTCGAAATCAAGTGTTCCGTGAAAAAGTTGTGATAGTCCTTAAAAATTGTCAATGCCTGGAGTACTTACAGCACTCCAATATGCCCAATTCTGGACGTATGAACAAGATTAGTAATAAAATAATTAATCTTTTAACAACACATTTTTTTAGGGATATAAATTTTGATTGTAACATATATGGGTTCGTCAGTCATAGTGATATATTTATATATCACATGCATGGGATACATATACATGTAGGTACATTTGAGTAATTCTTATTTTGGGAGTTTTTGAATTTTTATTCTTTCCTAGGCTTATATGATTAAAAATAAAGAAAAAACAAAATATCCCTCAAGTTTCAAGTCTTTATCTTAATTTTAATCTTACATTAGCCGAACAACGATGTAAGTTTCCCATCTAAATAACATGGGATTTTCGGCATTGAATGATCAATTTTTTATTCCGATAAAAATAATTGTTTACATTATTTGTTTTGTCAAAATAAAAAGTTGCACAATTCTGAATTTATTAGTATTTATTATCTATTATTATTTTGTTTTAATATATAGTTCCTCTTTTTTATATATGTATTTAAAAAAAAGGAGACCTTAAAAACTAAAAAACTGTTCGCCCTTCGAACGATATCGTTAACGATGATGGATAATGAGGATGCAATAAAGACCGTAACATTATCTCATTTTACAAAAGAATGAGCAATCAAGTGAACTAGGTATATATATATATACATACATAACAGAGGACGATCTGAGTTTTGGCAATGCGATCTTTGAAGAGTAATTACGATATTCGATTATGTACCGTTACACACATACACACACACACACACACACACACATTCATATCAACTTGCAACCACTTATGGTTGCCTATTCACAGCGTAGGACCACGCATGGAAATTGGAACCGTGTCGGCGGAAGTGAAGCTTCGAATTATCGGCTATACAAGAAGCAACTTGAAAGAAATGTGGGTCTGCCTCGCGTGTTATTTAAATAGGGGAACTCGGCCGATCGTGATCGCGTTTAAAAAATCGTTTAAAAACAAATTAATAAGTCTTCTATAATAATTATGTTCTCGGAATAGATTTGAATGTATAATTGTTGCATTAATATACATAACACACACTAAATGTTTATAGTATAAGATAAATGAGTAAAAATAATGACACACATCTTTTGCAAACTTTTCTATATTCGTTTTTATATTATTTACACTTATAACTTTTTCTTTTTTATTAATAATGTTTTCTTGAACATGAACAGATGTGAGATACTTGATACAAAATTTTATTATCTTTATTTCATTGTCATTGTTTGAATCTTTTTTTGTATTTATAGATATATAATAGAAAGTAAAGTTGAAATTTGTGATGTTGATGATTTTATTAAGTTCCGATAATCCGAACGTGTTCCTCTTTTAAGAACCTGTTCTTCGAAGTGAGAATGATTATATTTAATCCGGTATTAAAAAGAAATATTTGTTGAAAATTCGCAAAACAGTTGAGAATGATGCGATGTGTAAGTAGCTCGGAAAACCAGTTTCACAATTTATTCTTTTATTTCATCTTTAATGTGGAATTGAACAGATCTGAATCGTAACAATGCTTAAGGTATACAATTTTATAAAAGTTACATTTCAAATTAATTATACAGATTGATCGATGATTACACATCCTAGCAAAAAAAATTATTGTAACAGAAAACAATATTAGAAAGGAACAAAAAAATTATCAAATATCAAACGATCGTTATAGATCGTTAAACGATTTTAATTACGATTAATGTTTGAACTTCCGAGTTTGCTAAACTGAAAAGTATTACTTATTTACGATTATTTAACTTTCAACGTATATAAGTCATAAGAAAACGCATTAAAATGGGTACCAAATTCCTATTAAATGTCACATTTTTTTCGTTACACATATTTGTGTATTTTTCAATTCTATTTTATATTAATAATTGCGAGAAAAGTTATATAATCAAAAAATGCTACTTTAGAATTTGGGTATAAATAGAAATAATTCTTCGTATAAAAAGTTACATTACAGAGTTATTTCTAAAGAATAATAAATAATTATTCTAGATTGATGCCAATACAAATATACAATACGAATGTTCGATTATTTGTATTAGTTAAATGTTCAATTTTATATTTGTAAATTAAAACTTTGAGTTAGAACTTACCCTATCATCTATATATTTGAACATTATTTCTTATCACGAAAAAATGAATTATTTGATTGAACGTGACAGGATAATGTCTTGTATGTTGTATTCGTATGCAAGAAAAGTCTTTTTAGAAGTTCCAGGAAAACGACTGTAGAAGTCGTCCGTTTAGACGAAGTAAACGGTTCGCTTTACGCATCGTTTCATTCGTATATAAATCTAATAAGAAGAGGAGATCGACGATCAGATGCTGTCGTCATTGATTCAAGCAGACAACCGTTCAAACGTTGAATCTTGGCCGACGTCACGGAAGTAGGCTGCTCCTTACTGGTCTCTTGTTAAAATCCTCCTCGATATCGTGCAAATCTGGTGGATCTGCAAATCCGCTGTCTTCGTAACGGGTACATCGAGAACCGGGTGATCTCGGTGGATGCACCGAATGGATCGGATGAATGCTGTTAACATTTTTTTTTTTATTAATTTCAATACTTTAACATACTTTTATATACATACTTCTTTTCTCTAACGATAAGTTTAATTTAACAAAAAGTTAAATAATTTATTTAATTGTTCTATGTTTTATTTGCATTTTAATCGGATTATTAAAAATATTTCGAAGGAAATTAATTAAATTAAAGAATATAAGATTTGAAATCTGATAAATCTTCTCGCATATGCCAGTATTAATAAAAGTGACCTAGAAATAAATTAAAAAAAAAAAAAAATACATAAATATATACTTAAATATGTATATATAACTTAGATTGTCTTTATAATTACCGATTATACAATAGAATAATAAAAAATATAATTGACCTAATTCACTTTTATTTAAATACAAATAACGAATAATATTTAGATCATTAAATTATTTATTAATATAAAATATCTTTATTAGATAGTTATAACAACGTAATCGTTAAAGTTTTTTATCTTGAGTAAAAATTAACGAGACATAAACGAAGAAAAACATACGAGAAAAGATAAACTAAGAATTTATTTTCTATAGAATATTTTTCAACTGTAAATACTTTCAGAATAGTTTCCATATTTACCTGCTTAGAATGGTTAAAACACGTTTGCTTTCAAAGTTATTCTCATTCTCGTTAATATTTAACAAGGATTACCTTGTGCACCTTGAGGGACTCGCTTCCAACGGTTCATCGTATCTACGGGAGAGCATGGTGAAGTCGCGATGAGCTGCAACCATTTTCTGCAGTCGCGTAATGATCTCGTAATCCGGAGTGCAGATTGGCTCCGACAATAATTTCGCTACGGAGACACGGAAGCTCTGCAACTGAAATAGGATATGAACGATTTGCAAGTTGTATAGATACATAGATAGATAGATAAATAGATATATCTATGCATACTACTACTACTACTACTACTACTACTACTCCATTAACACGCTCTCCATTACAAGTTAGATCATCAAAAATTGCTTTACGTTCAAATCAGTTGAGGTAATGAAAAATAATGAAGGACCTATCGAAAATCGATTCTATGCTTCTGGGTGAGGGTCAACGCTTGCGACCTGACACTTTTGGTCGTTTTCGAGAAGGCAGGAAAAAAGGTTTCAATAAAATTACAAGGGTCCGATTCGTTCGAATGATCACAGAGCATCCTTCTCGGCGCTTCGTTGCTTTGCCAAGTTATTTAGAGTTACGTTGGTTAATCATAAACGAAAGTATCGAGATATATAGGAGAAAATTTAAATACGTTAAATTTAATTATATTTATACGCAGGTGAAAGTTCTATATGCAATTATTATGCTATAAAAGTTAGATCGAAAATTATTCCTTCTACATGTAAAATAAGGAAAAAAAACATTTTAAAAAATGTATTATTTTAGAAATACTATTCGAAAGGTTTGAATTCGTAACGGGTCGACTAGTGGGTGGCACGTGCTAACTTGAAGAAAGGCAAAAAAGGCAGTTTCGCGAGTCATTTCAAAGTATATACTTCGGTGAACGTAAACGTGATTCGAATAAATGATCGACGAACAACGATGTCGTACTCGTTGGAAGAAAGAAAGAGATAAAGTCTTGCCTTGTCTTGAGGAGCAGCAGGTTTATGCATTTCCTACGAGAGAGAGAACGAGTAACAACAACGCGAATAGATGTCATCTGCGTATAGTCGGTGAGATTGCTTCAATGAATTAACGAGTCAGTTTGCCCTCTGACCTCGAGGTACAACGTTACCAACTCTAGATCATAAGCGAGATTCTTGCCTTTCGAGAACACCAAAAGGGATACTGTGCATGTGTATTCAATATACGTATATGTATATTTATATAGATCATCTTTATCAGATAAAATGATTTAGGTTGATTGTCAATTATATCAATGAATAAGATGTTACGTCGCGATACGTGTTATTCTATTTCCTTTTATTCATTCTATATTTTATTTTTATTCGGAAAAGATTGCTCCTGTCTTTTTCTTTTTTTTTTAAATTTCCCTTACATTGGAGTAATCTCTTGTATGCCTATTAAAAAAAAGAAAATAAAGGAAAATAACATGAAAAATGAGTCACGAGAAGAAAAGGAATATTTTCTTCTTTAATAACGCTATCTGTCACGAGAAGTGACGGATATTTTGTAAGTGGCCCGTATATTCTCCGGAGATTGATTTTGATAAATGAAGAAGATACTTTCACGCTCTCGTTTCAGTTCTAATTTTACGGACGAAGTGAAATGACGGAGTCAAAGGGTTTTGCATTTTAACAGGCATATCAAATTCAAAAATACAGATCGCCAAGCGTACCGCGTCCGAACTCTCTTACAGGGGTCGAATGCAAGTAGGTTTATAGAGGAATCACTATAAATCAAGATTGCGTGAATTCGGCTTTGCGTGCCGAATACGTAATATCTTATTTGGCAAGAATCTTACTGTAAGAATTTCGAAAAAATAAATATTTATAAATATTATTTGTATAATAAAAATTAAACTGTAAAATATAAATATTCTGCATATACATATCGGGAATATTTTGAGGCTAGTAAAAATGTGGGAATTAAAACTTTCTTCGTAAAATAATTTATCACTTATTTAATGTATTATTTTTCTCTTATGTTATATTTTTTGTAATTTGATTATTTTATACTGTGAATTTCGAAAAAGTTTTAAAAATAAAAATAAAAAATTATCATAATTTTATATATTAAATATTAGTAAATAAATATTAACATAAATTGATCGAAAATTAAGTATCATTGATTCCGTTGAATTTATGTATGTGTACGTGTATTTATACGATTACCTGAGATTCCCTTCTAGTAACTTCGGCGAGATTTTGTTTCACTTGAGCCAATTCATCTCTAAGGAGTTGTAAAGAATGATCGTTGATAGATCTTTCTTGATCAGCCGTTTCAGATGTCGTTCTCATTTGCTCTTTCAACATAGATAGCTTTCTACTGTAACGCGTTCTCAACATCTCGCTTTCTACAAGACGTTTCTGGAGCTCTTCTATTTTCCTACTCCTTTCCAATGCCGCTATCTGTATCATGGAAACATAAAATTCGTGTATTTCAATTTTAAAGTAGTTGACGTCGTAATAGATTGAATTGCAACGAAAGAAATCAAAATGAATTATATATAGCATATATACATATAATGAAAAAGATATTTTAAAAGTTATGAAACACAGTTGTTTAAAATATTTAATATGAATTTGTTCTTATTATTATATAAATAATAAAATAATATCTAATATATATATATTATACATTAGGCTATAATTTCCAATATTAATTTATACTAATTTTTATCAAATAGAAAATATAATATATATATATATATTATACCAAATGATTGAATTTGGCCGATTTCTTTGTTTATATTTTCATTATTAAAATGTATAAAACCTTGTAATCAGCCGCTTCTGTTAATTGAGCACTCAGTTCTCGATTTCGTGATTTTTCTTCTAACAGTTGTGATTGTGTTCGTTCCACCTGTTTTGTTAATTTTTTCGCCCTAAAAAATCAAAATAATGATAATATTTTTTCTTGCTTTATTATTTAAAAAATTTTATTTGATGCAATATTCACCGGAGATTTGCTTCGTCTCTCTCACTTTGTAACAACGTTTTTATTCTCACACTGTCCTCTTGAAGAGACAATTTTCTTCGCAGTAGATCCAAGTGAAGATCTCGCCTCTGTAGTTGCTCCCTAAGGGTTCTCACACGTCGTTGCAATTGATAGACCACAGACGTCTAAGCGACATAAAATAAAAAGTACATATATGCTCGAAGGTGCGAACATCTGTGAAAAAAAATTCTTTCTAAATGTAATAAATGAATCTTCTAATTACGAATGACAATAATTAATCTAATACTACGATGGAATTGCAAAAAAAAAATGAAATTATTTTACCAAGAATAGAATGATCCATTTTTTTTTTAAATTTTATTAACAATTTATCGTGAAACATGTTATATGAAAAAGTATGTATTTTAAAAGAAAAAAAAAAAGAAAAAGAAAAGATCTCGTGCTGATATCTAAAATGAAAAAGTATAAAAAAGGTAATGGAATAATCCTTGAAAGAAACTAATGAACTATTTATATACGAAGCGAGCAAAATCGGTTGGAGTTGGATTTCTACGTGAGTTTCACGAGAAAGCCGGAGGATTTTTCGTTCAAGCGTGGAATAGTAAAAAAGAAAAGAGAAGTCAAAAGGAACCGAATTCGAAATGAGAAGTACGATAAAGCGCTAAACGGGAAGGTTTTTCTCGACTGGTTTGGAGCTTGGGCTTACGTCTTTCGGGGAGGGAAGCTCATGAAAGGATCTCTCACGACGAATCCTTGGTAAGATCGCGTAGCTGGAGTACATGTACTGAAGTACACGAACGGTAGAATTTTCATAGGATTTGAAATAAAAGAAAAAAACAAGAAGAGAGATATTTTAAAGATTGGTAGAAAAAAAAATACAAATTTATCTATCGATCGTGTCCTTCACCTTATCGACTAATTTATCCGTTTCTAATCTGGCAAGTTGTTCGGCTCGTACAAGTAAGGATTCGGTTTGTAATTCGATTCCGACGTCTTCCGAAATTTCCTCGATCTGCATGGCTTTTCCCAATCGATCGAGAAACGTCGTGAACTAAAACATTCGTTCAATTTCGGCAAACATAGTTTGCTTTGTTTTTTAAAACATTTAAAATAAACCAAATTTTTATCACCGTTTGTTTGTCTCTACGTAAAGATTCTTTGGAAAGTTCACAACTGGTTAATTCAGTCTCCAATTTGTGTATCTTTGCCTCGAGACTGGATCGTTCCTCTTCTAAATGTCGCATCTTCATCATACTCGTCTCGAGCATTTCGCTTTGACGATTGGCAGATTCCGTGGCAGAGTTCACCTTCTCTCGTAGACTTTGAATTTTCTGAATATTAAATTATTCAAATTTAAAAATTTCCAAAGAAAAATATACAAATTGCCCGGAAAGTGTATATTTATTTTGATCAAGGTAATATGTTTATTTAAAAAATATATATATCGTATCTTTTTTACTTCTCCCTTTTACGGGTTCGAATTACTTTTCTACTAAAACCTTCTCACACCTATTCAATACTACCAAAAAGGTCGTGTCTCTTTATTGCCTCCATGAAGTCAACGACATATGGTTTTTATTTATTTCGGATAGATTACCAATCCACTTTACTAACCGTGCCCACGTTGTTTGACTTTAATGATCTAGCGAAAACTAATAATCCAACGTGATTAGATCGTTGACTATTTAAACCAAAATTTATTTAATATAAAATATTTTCATATTTATAAATCGTCACACAACTTTCCGAGCAATCCAATATTTATACAAATCGAATATAATCTGGATGTCTAAATTATTTAATAATCTTTTTTTTTTAAAGTATCTAAATAATATATCACGAATAGAAGCACAATACCAGTGCTTGATCTTTGCTCTCGTCAAGGATCTCTCTAATCCTATCCTTTATCGCATTTTCATGAGATTCCACAAATCTACTCGGTGTACTCAAAAGAATTGCTAAAGATTCCAGTAAGTGTCTCAGTTCTGTTTGCAGGCGTTGCTCTTTTTCTTCGCGATTCTTCAAATCGTCTGTGAAGAAATAATAAAAAATCAATTGTATTTATTTCTAATGAAACAAGCATTCACTTAAAGTTTACCTCGTAATTGGCAGATCATTGCTTCCTGATTAGATATGTTTCCCGTAGCACTTGTTATATTTCTGTTAGCATTCACCAATTTATCTCGTAAATCGTTTATCTCTCTTTCAGCTACTCTATGCTGCATTTCTAAACATTCTTTATCCTGATAAACATAATATATAACTTAACATAACATCATTTTTGTAGTTTATTTATCATTCTATGTGTTTTAAAGTATTTATAATGATATATTTTCAATAGTTTTCAAATATTGATTAACGAATCAAATTCATTGTAAGTTAGAAATTAATACAATTATTATATATGACATTTATTTATGAATCAATTCGATAACTATATAAGTTTATATAACTATACAAATTCTAATTATAGAATATAATATTAGTTAGTTAAATTCTAAAATAAATGTTCTTTAACTACGCTCTATTTTTTACAAATTGGCTAAAAAACCTCTATTTAACTTGTAAAACTTTTAATTGAACTTATTTACCCATAAAATACTAGATTTTAGGGACAAGAAACAAAAACGATACCTTTATTATGATAAAGTTTACATCTTAAAAATAAATACTCAAATTTCACATTTACTTACATTTTACACTTACAATTAATTACAAATATCGTTATTAATTATGAATCTATTGGAGAAATATATTCAATATAAGGTATCATCCTGAAAATAAACTTTTTTCTTTATATACACATTCCATTGTAAATATACCTGCCGTAAGCGTTCCAAATCAACCAGTTGTGTAGACATTTGCCTCTGAAGTTGTTCTTTTTCAGTTGTAAGACGATTTAGCGCGTCTTTACAATTTCGAAAATCATTCTCAATACCGCTAAGTTGCGTCTCGATTGTAGTACTCCTGTTCCGCAACCGATTTACTTCTTGCACTAATTCTTCCGCCTTGTGGATAACCACTTCCGGACTATGGTGAACCGTTTCACAGTACTCGACGTTCAATGCGTGTGCCAGACGCCGTACAAAATCCTTTTAATGTGAATTCGATTTAATTGAATTCCGTTAATTTTCCAACGATATTCAGTAAAACGAATAATTCATTTTTCAATAAAGCATGAAAATTTCATTCTCATTTTATATCAAAAGTTTCGAGTATTTTAATGAGAATATTTTACCTTTGTGATTGTTTATTAATTTGTAAAATATTTATTACAACAATAATGAAAATTATCTATTAAATAATTATTCTTGTTGGTTTATTTGTAAATGATAAATACGTAAAGAAATAATTTCTCATTAAAATATTTATTTTTACGTTTAATTTTAACAAATATCTTTTCAATTTAATAAATGTAAATTTACATAAAAAAGAATACCTGAAGATTTAATCTCGCTCTTTCTTTTAATTGTATCTCTTCGGATAAATTATGCTCAAGTTGTCGAATTTTCTTCTCGTATTCTCTGACCTTTTCTTCGTGATACTTAACATCTCGTTGTAATCCTTGTATCGAAATTTCATTTCTTCCTTGAGACGCATAAAGATTTTTCTCACGCTCTTCCAATTCCTATGAAATAACTTATAAATATATAAATATGTATATATCTATATATATTTATAAATAAGATACATAAATAACAAATATTTCCAAAGTATGTATATGAAATGAGTCACGAGAATATTTGTACTACCACTGTCAATATTAAACAATTGATTTCTGCTTGTAATACTAATGTTTTCAAATTTGAATACAAAGGAACATATTTTAGGATTATTAAACTTGTAAATAGATATAAATTTTATTATAAGAGAAAAATAATTGTACATAATTGAGATAATAAAATTGATATCATAAAAATATGCCCAATCGTCTCAAAAACATTATAAAATGTAAAAGGTCTAACCAAATACTACTTACAAAAATTATAATTATATTGTTATTATATTTTATGTAAGTATAAATATTCGTGTGAGACCAATTTTTAATCATTTATATAAAATTATAATAATATAATTATTACTTACGTAAGAATTATAACTTACATAAGGATTATAATTCAAATAAGCTCAGATTTTTACACACACAAATTATCTAAATATTTTATTTAAATTAATGAATACTATATCTATGGACACGCACAAAAAATCATGTATTTATAAATGAAATAAACGGATTATATATATTTAATAAAAAAAACAAACAAATTTCTCGCCTTTATGAGTTTCTTAAGACTGGAAATGATAGAATTCTGTCTGGCAGCTTGTTCCCTCAACTGATCAGCTTCCACCTGAAGTTCTCCGACCCTTTGGTCTCTTGATCTGACGGTGTTCTTCATCTCCTGCAGCTAAGGAGGAAAAGCCGTTGAATTAATAATCCAGCCGATTTAGCAGTCGGAACAGCACGGAAATCGTTTTACCTCGAACATCAACCTATCTCGTTTGTATTCGAGAGCTGCCAGTTCGCTCCTCAACGTCGTCGTCAAATCGTGAGTCATCGCATCTCCTGTGTCCAACTGTAACCAAAGAAAAGATCCTTACACAGCTTCCTCCATTTTATTCTTTTTTTCTCTCTTATATTTCTGGTTTCTTCGACGACTTTTAAAAATCGAAACTGATAAAGAGAAATGAACGAGAAATTTACAAAAAATAAAGTTATATTTAAATTAGATTTAAAATAAAAATTAATATACAGGGTTAACCGTATATAGTGACCACAGAAATTTTTGTTTAAAACAAAACGAAGAATCAAAAAATGTTTCATATATGTAAAATAATATACAGGATATCCTGTAAAATGATGGAAAAAACGAAAAGAGAAGTGTTTTTACATGAAAAATTAACAAGTCGAAAATATAAAATAGAATGTGTTTATATAAGTGTGTTCATTCTTTTCGAGAAAAATAAATTTTTAAATTTATCGAATACCCGTACACTTAATCAAGTTTAAATAAAAATTATGTTTGTTAAGTATAAGAGTAAAACCGATACAAAAGACATCATCATACTTAAGGAAATTAACTTTTCACATGACGTAGAATCATTTGAAAATCTTTAATAAATTTCTCTTAAAATTGAATTTATTCTTGTTAAAATTTTCCGAGTTTTCAAACCAACATCTTTATCAAATCCGTTTAATACAATATCCTTTTCTTCACTTTTTTCTAACATCCTTATTTCTATCCATTCATTATAATATATTTATTCAAAACTGTCTTATATCCATCCTTATTAGATTTATCACCCGTGTTCTCACGTACACATGCACAACACACATATATTCTCTTCCTTCTTCAGAATAATAAGGAATTATATTTCTTATACTTTCATCAAAATAGAAAAACATCTTCACTTATCCTAAAATATCTATTTACACTTATAAGAAGGTCGTGTGTTTACCTTTCATACCATTGGCTTAAATATCTAACGTATGCATGACGCAATAAATTTACATAATATTTTAACAATTTTTGGAAAACAATCATTTTAATTTCTTTGATTAATAAAAACTAATACAATTTCGATTTTAGTATTATAATCATAGTTTTCAAAAAGAATTTTTTTTGTTTTTTAAATAGACTTAAAGATAATAAGAGAAAGGAAAAGAAAAAAAGAAAGATGCTGAACAAATTCATAAATCGTGACTCCCTTCTACCATAGTGGATTTAGTTAAAATGATTTATTACTGTATCTGGGAAGTTGGTCGTTAAGAGTAAAAAATTAGTTTACTTGGCGGAAGACGGCCACATTCTTCTTTATCTCCTCCTCCTTCATAAACGCCGAGTGAAAATCACTGTTCCTACCACGTGGATTATCTTATCCTCACCGTTAACCACAGTTGAAAAGATATTTTCTCATCTAATACGTACGCTAGAAGGAACGGTAATTACATTTCATCTCTCTTAAGCGTTAATGCTTACGCATTAACAATCACTTCTTTGAATTTGCAATTTATCCAAGAAGATTATTTTTCTAACACGTTAATATATCTATTGTGTATATTTTTTATTTGATTATCTTAGAAAAATATTTAAGGAAAAATTGTCATGAAATCCCTTTTCATTTCATTATGATCATGTTTTAACTTTCTTTAAAAAAAAAAAGTAAATATCTCTTATACAACCTTATATTGATGAAAGTTATTTAATTATTATATTACACATCTTACAAATAAAAAATATGTAACGAAGAAAAAACAAATTATTCATTGAAATCCATATACGGATGGTAATTTGATAAATTCTATTTCTTTTCTAATATATAAATTTAATTTCTAAGATAAAACACATCTTACAATCAAAGTAAAAAAAATAACATTGAATTTTGTTCAATTGTTATTTGATTTCAATTCATTATTTGTTGGAAAATAAATTTATTAGAGATATTTTTGATTTATTTACTTTTGTTTTGTTGTACGTCTTAATCCATTATCGAATTCACATTTTCTTGACGAACTTTGAACTAAATGGACGATTATCGTCGTCGTTTTCATTCTCAAAAGGTCTGACTAGTCAACCCTAAACAATTCGTCGTTCCTGTTTTATATAACGAACGGGAAGAGTATTCGCGAATAGGTAAGGTATATTCTTGTCTTCCAAGGATAACGAAGGCTTACGTGATTCTCATTCCGTACTTCGCACAAGGAGCCACCGCGACCCGACTCTAAATACCCACTGATATCAACTATAAGACGTACACGACCTTAAATATATTCCCTTAAATCTCTCTACCGATATGATTTATAACTAACTAGATATAACTAGTAGTTATATGCTATCTAACTAGAAGAAATCATTAAATTAACAACTCTGCGTTTGATGAAAAGAAAAAATAAGAAAATATATAGTTATCTCTTATTTTCATTAAAAGTTAATTATTTATACTGTTTGACTTCTGATTTTTATATACTATGGTATACTCATGTACGGTAATATATACTGGATTGAGTAAAAAATGCCTTTATATTTTAATTTTTTCATATCATATAATTTATCATACTATATCTTTTTTCATATTTCGTATCCAGTCTTCTCCGAATGGTTTGAAATTGTTTTGCGATCGATATTTAATTCCTGATCAGGATTGCTTATTAGCATATTTGCTTAACTCATTCAGTTTATTCGAATAATCTATACTCTACTATATATAGTATATTTTCCGAACAGAAATTCATATTTTTTTTTTTTTTTAATATCTTGTATAAATGAAAAATATTTCATTGGTAAGTTATCAAAATTATAATTCTTCAAAAAGTTAATCTATTTTAAATCTTTCATATACTATTTAAACTTTGTCAGCATACTTTTAAAACAACTTGTATAAAATATTTAATTTCATTAAAAAATGGTTTACAAATACAATCATTGTTAAAACAATGTCAAAAAATAAAATAATCATTAGTTGCTTGTTTATACTAATAATGACATTTATTTTTTTTTTCTTATGTAATAATACGTATAATATACGTGAATTGATTGAAAAGTTTTGAGCCTAAAATAGAAACAATTCTTTTCAAGACTCAAAACTTTCAACCCATCCTCGTATTTTATAGTATTTTAATTTGACAATTAAAAATGAATAAAGATAGATATTTTCTTCTGTCGAAAAAAAAAGTAAAAGGAGGTCTTACTCTCTTGAATGTTTTTATAAATATTCAAGATATTACTGTCAACTTAAATTGCGAGGATATTTATACGAATTCGAACATGAGAGATACTACGGAAAATAATGGCACGAATGAGTCCGTGACATCTTTCATGATAACTATCGTTTATTATTATTCAATATAGATAATATCGTAATAATTAATACGGATATAAATATATATATTTATTTCCTACAAATTAAAAAAAAATTCTTTGTGTAATTTATTAAAAAATTGTATTCATTAAATAAATATTTGTAGTAACTCTTAATTAGTTAACATTAAGCGAATTTGAATGCAATTCATTTATCTCGAACTCGTAACGAATCAACGTAGAAAACTAAATTAAAATTGGTTATTATTCGTTATCCTCTTAACTGTGAATGGCAATTATACTCGTCATGTAACTCGTAACTACCATTTGGTATTTGTATTAAATTTGTTGTTATAAATTAATGTTATTTATAAATAGAAATAAGTATAAGTAGATATTTTTAAATATTTTAAAACAATAATGAAATAAACGGGATTTCTTTAAAAAAAAAAAAATCAGAAAGATAAAAATTTTACTTATTTTAAGAAACATATTTAATATAGGTATTGTAATAAAGAATCATCATTTAAATTTTTCCTTTCTAGCAGATCCTTTAGGGATCAGTTATTTTCTTTTTATTATGTCTCTAGTTTATCGATTGATAATAATTTTTAATAAAAATCAATTATTATTTCGTTATAACTTGTATTGAATACAATAATAGTTAACAGAACGGTTTCTGTATTTAACAAGTATCATCATTATCGCCTCGTTCTAATAACACAATTAAAGAGTTAACGAGTAAAAAGATTCATTTGAGAATAAATCAAAAATAGTAAAAATGTGAACGGAAAGGTAGATAATTGTGAAGGAAAATTAAAATAATCTAAAAGAAATAAAATATAAATTGAGGCTTCCTTAATGGTTTCCACGCGAAAACGCGGAGGATCGAAAAGGCGCGTACACACGGACCTTTAGTGGAACTGCTAAAATCGATTCTGTGTAACGCTATGGCAACGCAACCCTTGTTCGCATGCAACTCAATACATTTGCGTTTCACTGGTGTACCTCGTATACGTCACACTGAAGCGAATAAGAGAAATAGAGACAGCGATAAATATAGATAGATAAAGAAACCGAGAACGAGAGAGAGAAAGAGAGAGAAAGGGAAAGAAAGAGAAAGAGAAAGAGGATCAGAGTAGGGATAAAAAGAGAGGGCAATGTTTCGAGGGCTACGATAACGACGCTTACGCGTGACGAAATTACGAAATTACGATTGGACGCATCAATTAAACGAGCCACTCGTAAATCCTATCCATGATGAAATTCCAAAGGGTTTTGACGGGCTGATGCTTCTATGAGAAAACGTAGGGAAAGCGACGATTTTCAAGAGCTCAGTAACGAAACTTATCACTCGATGAAAGTAGACTAACCCTCATCTTTGATAGATTTGATTAATTTTTTTCTATGTGCATTTATTCGTGCGTTATTTGTTTAAAAAGGTGTATTTTTTATCGTGACATAAATTGAAAATTTTCTAATATACTTAATTCTACGTTAAAATTAAATATATATATATTTATTTAACTATAATTGTGCCGTTAATTATGACCGTGGATTATATAATATATAAAAAAATGAAAGAAAAAAAATTAATTATATGATTTATTTTGTAATATAAATAATTGTAATATAAAACAAATCAATTTTTTTAAATTTCTGCCTAACAATGAATGAACTGTCGTGATTACCGGCACATATATGTATACAGGTGAGAATATATTTAAAAAAAGAAAGAAAAAAAGAGAGAGCAAGGTGCGCTTCACAATATTCAAGTTGAGTGCGATAGTGTTGTGAATCGTGTTGTGAGATGGGTAGACCTTGTGAGGAGACGAGATGCAAAGAGTCTCGAATATCCTGAGATTCTCGTCGGTAGTAAACTCGTCGGTCTCCTTCGGCTCCTTATTCTCCTTCCTCTCCTTCATCCTCTCGTGACTCCTCCTCAACACCATCTTGTTCTCCTTCTTCACCCCTTCCACCCCATCCCCCTCCTCATTCTCTTCATCGTCGTCCTCTTCGCGATCGGCCATCCTCCTCGCTTTTATTCGCAAAGACTATCGCTTACAGCGATCGTTCCGACCTCGACAAAAGACAAACATTCTCCTTCGTCTTCTGACTGACTTTCGACGACTTTTCTTCTTCTTCTTACTCGCACTTTCGCCTTTCCTGGGTCGAACGCCGCCGTCTATTGCCGTTGACGACTAGAAAACCTGCTGGCACCAACAACAATCGAACCTGGGGAGAACGAAAGTGTGACACCCTACCTTGTTCGTCCTCTTACTTGCTGGTATAAACACTAATCGAAATCTATTGATTGTCCTCATGAACTTACAATTTCAGATTTTTCTTCTTCTTTTCTTTGAAATTTTCATTCAATATTTATTTTAAATAGAAAAATAAAAAAGCGATCAATTATATGTAAATAATTAATATTATTGTTGTTCGCTCTTTTCTCTTTATATTGTATATTATCTTTTTTAATTTTATTTACAGTAATAATAGGTATAATAAATAATGAATATTTAGAAGTTAGATTTTTAAGTTGTTAAAATAAAAATTTGTGTTATCGATCGTTATACTAACCACGGTATCTATAATATAGACTTATTTATTGCAATGATAAACACGTGAACTGCAATATCGACAACTTGCAAATCCTAAATGTGTGTATTGATTATCGGTAAGATAAACATCAAACGACCATAATCTTTGTTTACTTTTGTAAATATTTGAAATAAAGAATATATAATAATATAAAACAATAAAAGTGCACTTTTCTTGTAAAAACTGCATCTTAGTTAGGACCGGGACCATCAGTAGGCGAAAGTCGGTACTTTACGCGATGACAGTACATACTATCAAAGAATAGTACAATACTATCAAAAAATACAGTTTTCTACCTACTATTGCCAACTGGTGGTTCAGGTAGTAACTAAGATGAATTTTGATAGATAAAAAAGGGGATTTGTGAGCTTTTATGTACTTTTGTATTTTTTCCTTTAGAAAAAAGTGATATTACTGACATTAGATAAAGAAGCTTTCGTTTCAAATCTTACAAGAATGGGAATATCTATTGATAATTGATTCATGATTATGTGATTCAACATTTATAAACATTTTGTGTTTATGGTAATGAATTCTATAATCTTCTAGTGGAATAAGATTGTAAAAATAACAGCATTCTAAAATGCTTTTTAGATATTGTAATTTATGTTATCAGAACATAACTGTGTCAATTATAAATTTGCGGAAGTATGGGGTTAGTAAACTTTAATTTTAGCATGATTTTTGATAGGTTATGTTTTTTTAGGTTATGTTTCTTTTAGGTTATCATTTCCTTTCTATATTCTTTATTTATAAAAATAATAATATATTTTTATTGAATTTAGAAAAGAGTTGGTGCCAAACGTTTTAAGAAACGTGAAGTTAAAAAGCAGATAGCACTTACTCCTGAAGAAAGAAAATTAAAAACACCAATAATCCTTTGCAAACGTCCGATGTTTAATTTCTACAAAGGTGATATTTATTCAAAATATGAACCAATACCCTTAAACAGCAAAGGATGGAATCGTTCAGATTCTAAAGGAGATCATTTTTGTATTTATCCAGTTTGTATCATTTGTTTAAGTGTTTTTATATAATATCATACTTAAAGAACACGCTTAACAAATGCTAATCTTTTTAGGAAAAAACTTTAACATCAAATGAAGATATTCAAAAGTCTACTTTTGAAGAATTCAATTTAGATCCTTCGTTATACAAGAAATTAGAGGAATTAGAGTATACAACGCCGTTGGAAATTCAGAAACGTGCTATACCAAAAATTTTGAGGGGTCTAAATACTATAATAGCTGCTGAAACCGGATGTGGCAAAACAATGGCTTATCTTGTTCCTTTAATAGATCAAATTTTAAATTGGAAACCAATGTTAGAAAGATCTTATAATTCTCCATTAGGATTAATCGTTACACCAAGTCGAGAATTAGCTATTCAGATAGGGGTTTGTTTTTTATTTTTACATAATTCTCTTTACTATAATATAAATAATTTTTAATATGAATATATAAATGAATATAAATATATATTCATTTATAATACAGGAAGAAGCTAGAAAGTTGTCAAATGGTCTTGATATTTCAACAAAAATCTTAACAGGTGGTAAAACAAAAAGAATGATACTTAAGTTACCTATGAACGATGTCGATCTCGTTATAGCAAGTTTTGGAGTTATCAGTAAATTGACTACTTCTAAACTTTATAAATTAAATTGTGTCAAACATATTGTTCTGGATGAAGCAGATGCATTATTTCATGAAACATTTGAAGAAAAACTTAATGTATTTATGAAGAGACTACCGGTGTGTATAAATTTTAAATATTTCGTATACAATTTTGCAGATGAGATTATAATAATCTGTTTATATCGTAATATAGATTGCTTATCAACAAACAATAGATGAAAACGGAATGCCTAAAAATGCTCAATTGACATTAGCTTCTGCCACAATGCCTCAAAGAATCTCTGAAGTCTTAGGAAACATAGTAAATGTAGGTCTTTTAAATAAATTTATGGATATAATCTTTAAAATATATGTATATAAGCATTATATATTCAAATTCTAGGCCGATTCTTTGGTTAAAATAGTTACAGAACAATTGCATCGTATTTCCGTACCTCAGACTTTTGTGAGAATGGGTCCAAGTCAAAAACCGTACCAGTTATTAAAGTTTATAAAACCAAAAGTTAAATCTAAGGAACCAGTAATAATATTTAGTAATAATACCGCTACTTGCGACTTTATTAATATGTTCTTAGAAGATTGTGGTATCAATAACGTTTGTTTAAATGGTAACATGCCTTTGGAATTAAAACAAGGAAAATACAAAGAATTTAAAAATGGAAAAGTTAATATATTATCAACCACGAATATGGGATCTAGAGGATTGGATACTATCATGGTCCGACACATATTAAATTATGAATTTCCAATGGATACTGCTGATTATATTCATCGGTAAGGCTTGTTTAGTTCAGTATAATGATCTCAGACAATATGTAATTAATTTCCTGTATTTTTAGATGTGGTAGAGTTGGAAGAGTAGGCAGTCATCAAGACTGTAAAATAGTCAATTTCATTAGCAGTCCTCTAGAAATTAGAATGGTTCAAAAGATTGAAAAAGCCATCCGCAAAAAAAAACCTATACCTATTTTTAATATAATGAATGAACATGTAGAAGATAATCTTGAACCTTTATCTTCTCCTGATGATGCCCAAGAAGACGATATAATTGAAGACATAAATGATGAGGATAGTATTCCTTACTGAAAACTTGATAAATAAATTATAATAATAAAATATATGACATACAATTTCAAAAGAATTTTTTATAAATTGGTAAATATATTAATAATCCTAGTGTATGTAAGGTTTTATCACTTGACCCAAAATTGTAAGAGGATGTATATGTATGTGAGAAAATATCTATCTCCCTCGTCTAACATACATTCGTTTTCTAATTTAATTAGTTTATATGAGGTCAATGTGGTTAATTTTTCGTGTAAGAATGCAATGATGAAACCCTCGCAATGCTTGCCAACACGATCATCTGATTAGATGGGTATAACTACTCCTAATTTCATGTGATCTTATAAAACGGATTTTATCCTTTTTCGCTAATAAAATATTCTACATCATATAGTGTTTTAAAGTTTCGATGAGATTTTTTATCTTAGTTTTTTTTTTAATTTTAAGACTTATTAAAATAGGTATTTTAACATTATTTTGACTAGTTTGCGCGAATTTTTTTTTAAATTCCAAAGTTTAAATAAAAAGGTAGCAGAAAGGCTTATGTCCATTCATAGGTGTAGTATTCTGTCGTGTCTACTGACACACCCACACTGGACACCCACGCATAGTAAATAGAAATACTATAAGCCAGAACATACGTCTAGACCAGTTTATTACTCACTTTGCGTTTTAGTGAAATTAAAGGTGGTCAGTGCACGCTGCTGTTTTACTTTAGCCGGGTTTGACCATGTGGGTGTGCCATAGCAGTTGAAATGGTGTCGCTAAACAATATCTTCGCGTGTTTCTTATCTCTTTTGAATGAACTACTGGTACTCACCTTTCCAAATTAAACTCAAAGGTTTCATTTAACCCTTTCTGATGTTATGGGTGCGTATAGGATACACATTCAGGAAATTTGCACGCGGTTAATATTATAAAATCCTATGTAAGTAACAAATTTACATCTGATGAACTAATCTTTTTATAATTTTGCAATATTTATAAAGTAATGGTTAAAATATTTTCATATATTTTTAAGGAAGCTTCTAAAACGAATGAGAAGTTTTATAGAATAAGAAAACTAAAAAGAGAAAATCTTTAATTTATAATAGACGTTTATATAAAAAGTGATAATGAAGATAAGAATAATTTTACATAAAATTGTACCAATGAACATAAATCGTATTAAAATATATCTTTAGATAATTTGTTCATTTATTTAAAATCTAAAAAGTTAAAAGAAAAGAATGTTAACTTTATTATTGTATTAAAAAACAATAATTTGTACATTAAAAGAAGTATAATAAAGGATATTTTTTTAGACAAATCGTAGTAGATGATAAATGATTTATATACATAGGTGGGTTGACAAGTTTTGAGCCTAACATAGAAACGATGTTTTTTTTTTGTCAAATTGCCTATTATTTTTTTTAACTTACAGTAAAAACAAATAGGTTCAATATTTTTCAACCTATTCTCGTATTTACTATTCTATAATACTTTCTAATTCTTTTCGTTTAAGATTTAATAAATTCAGCTTTAGCAAAGCAAGATTTTATTGCAAGAGCTTTCTTATACAACGGGTGGAAAAAAACTTCGATTACCTAAATAAAAAAATGCATTGATATTAATTATTTTTGTATTGCTACGATGTTGACGTATCACACGCGTAAAAAAGTTTAATCTGAAAGAGCACTGAAAGTAACAACTAACATTTTCAAATGTAATATTGATCATAATTATTTTTTAATAAAATAGTACGTACCATTTAAACAAAGTAGATTTGAAGAAACATTAAAATATTTGTATTATACAACTACCAATTAGTGCAATATTCTAATCCTGATTGTTTATACAAGAGCTTTTAAACAAATTTAGAAGCATCATTTACAGTATTAGGAATAGAGATAAAAATTATTATTACGTTATTGCAATCTCACATTTGAAAAATGTGAAATATTATTGATCGATAACTGATTAACGAATCTTATTCATTGTGTTTCTTAATAAAAGAACTAACTCATGTGGAACGGTGAGAAAAAATAGAAAGGGATTACCGGAAATGTCGAAGAAATTAAAGAGAAAGGAAATAAGTTACAAAAACATAGACATTTCATTAGCATTAAAATAGAATAATAAGGAAAGAAAAGATAGAATTTACATTACAAAATAACAATTAAAAACTAAAGAGGTCATTTATAAACCCTAATGCATTTAAGATTATACTTATATGTGTTATAAACAAAGTATGGTAATAATCAAATTTGCTTGAAAGATGCATTTAAAATCAGTATATAATAGTTATTTTTTATCCTATGAATGTATTTTTGTCTATAATAAATATACTTTTTACGTTGTAAACAATTCGTTTAATTACAAACTAAAAAACATTACTTAATAAAATTTTAAATTGTAAAAAAAAAAAAACAAGAAAATGAAGAGTTACCAATTTTTCTAAACATTTCTATGAAAATGTATTTGTACTTTGTAGAAGGTATTTCTTCACTTCTTTAACAATAGATATGATTTGTAAATAATATTTCATCTTATAGAAGATGTTTTTTAATTTATATTACCAATAAAATAATAAGAATTTTTGTTGATAATGTTTGCGTTTATATTGATAGAGTCAAAAATTTGTCTTATATATATATATATATATATATTTCATTTAAATTGTATTGAAATTTTTTAACAGAAATATTATTTTATATGTTTGTTGTTTAAAAAAAAAATAATAAAAAATATAAATATGACGATTAAGCATTAACAATAATGAGATGTTTTTTGTCGAAGTGAGTTGGGTCACGAAAGGCGTACTTACTCGCGAACGTGCTAAGAGCGGTACTTATTATATAAAGAGATACGATGAGTCGCCGTTACTGACATGACAATGATAATGGACTAATTAGCGTGGTTAGTTGCGTGACATGTAGGACAGGAGGTTTGAAATCGAGATACGCAAGTAATGCGGGACCTCGTGCTGCAGGAGAGCAAAGCAGATCGTATCTCTTGCCCGTCTCAAACTCGTGCCACACGCGTAGTTTTCTACAGAACGAACTCTACAAGCCCGCATCTCTCTATATCAAGAAAGACATACGCATCAAAAAACTTATTCTTAAAGTTTCTAGATGAAAGAATATCGATAAGACGTAAAGAATTATGTTGAGACAATGTAAAAGTTTGCTGTTTGCTGGTGAATGAAGGAATATATAATAAATTTTGTTAAAAAATTTTTCTAAGTTCTCTAAATTGAGTTTTTAGATAAATAATGTGAACATATTATGATCGGTCAAATTACTTCTATATAGTTTTTGAGTTTTAATTCTGCATTCAATATTACACATATTTTTTCATTTTATTTTATGAAAATTATAAATAAAAATATTATTTGAGTTATTATTTAAACTAGTATCTCAAATTGATTATTAACTGTATTCAATTGTACAAAGTTACACTTTGTACAATATAAAATTAAATTAAATTTAAAAAGTCATGCTCGAATTAAAATATTTATATAAATGATGAATTTTGTAATAATTTGGATTTTTCATAGTTTTGAAATATCAAAAAATAATAAACAATAAATACGTGCTAAGTAATAAAGGTAATTAGTAAAGTTATAACAGAAAAGATAAATTGTATAAAGAAAATAACTAAAAATCGATATTTTATATTATTTCTATTACAATCAATTTAGCAATCATAATTAATAAATGTAATTGCAATATTTTGTTTACATTTGATAAGAGTTGAAATTAAAATAATTTATTATTAAAACATTAGATAAATTATAAATATAAATAATACATACGTATAAAAATTTATACAAATTGGAAACTCTTCTATAGAAAAGTATTTTAACTAATGTTAATCCGAATAAAAAAAGCCATAAAAAAAAGCAACAAATTTATAGACATAGGATATCTCATTGACATCGATCCTTCGATCGCATCAATCGAAGTAAGACTCCGCACGTCGGCACGCGTTCTTTGACTATAGTGGTGGGGACGGCAAGTAGTGAATTGGAGTGGGGAGAGGCTCCAACAGCGAGTGAGCGGTGGGGCGCCTCAGTCGTTCTGCGGAGCGCAACCTGTTAGCATTGTTTCTGTCAATTTTCGTTTTTTCTCAAAAGAAAATTCGCTCTCGTGTAAAATATACGGTTTCCGCGTTAATTAGATTTTTATTTAACAATAAGACATAAAACGCACCATCGAATTATAACAGTGTATTTATTCTTACTTTATCATCTTTTTCTTAAAAGGAATAAGCCGGATCAGATCGGAAATCGGGATAACCGTTACCGAAAGTCCTCGATCTGCTACGAGTGAGTCGAGTGGTCACGTCCGGGTTGACGAACCCTCTACCTCTTCGTCGTCGTCGTCGTCGTCGTCCCACGGATACACACATTGTGTTTCTATACGAACAACGAATGTATGACTCCTCGTGAAATCCTTTATTTTGTTTCTTCACTCTCTCTCTTTTTATCTCTTTTTATTCGCAACGTGTCACTGTTCTTTACGCGAAGAGGAGAGTTCATTAAGAAAAAAGAAGAGGAGGTAAACAAAGCTAAATTTCTTCAGTGTCTCCTCTTTCTCTGTCTTCTTTCTATCTTTCTATCTCTATCTGTCTCTCACTTTATTTCTTTACCTGTGTCACTGTCTCCCTGTCTCTCTCTCCCTCTTTCTATCTGTGTGTGCTCGCGCGCGCACTCTCGTATCGAAAGAAGGCAGCACACCACACCATCGTGAAGAAACGAAGAAGAAAAAGAAAAAGGAAGGGCCGGTAAGGGAAGAGAAGGGACGGGAGAAAAGAAGCGAAGGGATCGAGTTACGAGGAATCGATGCGTCGTCGATATCCTAGCGTCGAACGTTCCAACCAGCAGAAGTCACGTTTTCAAAGTTTGACGATTTTTCTTCTTCCTTGCTACGGTAGTAAAATAAGAACAAAACATTTGGTATCAAGATAGTTCTTAAGATACTACTTTGATATAATACATTGATCGATTTGGTGAACCTTCGTGAATTTGTTTTTTATTTTATTCCAACGTTTTATATCTAACTGTGTGATAAAAAAGAAAAAAGAAGAACAGGAAAAATTTCTAAGAAAGGTGATCGTCCTGGTGTTTTGTGCAAGGAAAACGAGAAGTCACTATATTGGAGAGGAAGAGGGAAAGCGGCGTGCCGCTCTTCTGTGTGCCGCGACAGAGACGATCGTCACAGCCGGAAAACGTATGTAATATTTTTATTCACTTTTATTTATATAACCGTTGACATTAACCATTTTTACACTTGGAAATTATTTTAACATATTTCCATCCACCAATTCGGTAATAACCCTAGTAGCACAAAATATTGAATACATGTGTTCAATATTTTGTGCTACTAGGGAATATATAAGTATGTATGTAATTTATTAAGAAAAATTTATATGATAATTTTTTTTTATATCAATTGAAAGTATAAAACACTGAAATTTATCGTTTATACATTATTTTATCTAAATTACTTGAAAATAAATGCTCACATGACAGCTGCTCCGAAATTCCCAGTTGTCAGAATGAATGTTCATGTCAACAAATGCATTTCGAATTTAAAGAGATAATTAAATCGGTCTATCTTCATATTAAAACAAATGTTTTTATTTAATCTTTCATGTGTGTTTAATTAGAATTATTATATAATAGGATATTTTTAGACAAAATTATTATATTTATAGAATGCATAACTATTGCGTTATTTTTTTTATTATATTTTTCTAATACTTTCAGTTGATTATATTTCCGAAAATATTGAACGACGAACGTGAATAGATATATTTTAAAAGAGCAAAGGCGATAGTTAAAATACGAGCAGGATATGAGTCTTATCTAAATTCGCCGGAAACGTTCGAACGTTGCACACTAGCCTGTCAGAAGTTTATCTTACTTCAATAATTCTCAAAACGTTTGAAAGTATGCCTTTGCCCACGAATATTAAAGTTATACAAATGTTTGCATTTTTTTTTTTTTAAATTCATTATTACTCTGTGTAAGTTTCATTTTTAAAATACTATTATCTTAGCCTTAATATTAACGAAATTATCAAAAAAAAAAAAAAATATAGCATTTTAGCTAAAACCAACAGTGTACGCGATAAAGTTTCTTATGAATGACTCGGTGTCATGTTTTAGCAATGAGGAACGTTCTTGTAAAACGAAAAGATGTACGGAATGCTATAACCGGTAGCATTGATAAATATTCACGCTAAATGACGAAGATAATTGCAAACGATACATTAACCGAATATGTTTGTGTTACAAAACTATTATATAACGTTTTCAGAAAGCGTATTTTATTGTTAGTTAAAAAAGTAAAATATAATAGTTTCGTACAATGAAGGTATATAGAAAAATATACTATATATACTATTATTTATTTTTTTTTTGAGAAAAGGATTATTGAATAAGAAAATTTTACCTAAAAAGGGAAGAAGGATGTGTAAAATTTTAATTAGACGGTATCAGTATGTAGAAGAATCTTTGTCAGGTTTCTCGTTATTGACCGACACGTGGGACGTGTAGAGTTGTCGAAGATCTTTCCTGCGTTGCATAATCACGCACGGACGATCGGATATGAACATTGCTGCACAGTGAACCTCGTTAAGGTCTCGTTAAAATCTTCGCTATAGGTATATCTAAACTTTCCATGAGCCTTTCGAGGATGATGATAATAAAAGGATTCTTTGGTTTGATCTTTTGCATCGTTTGATGCGATAATAGAGAATACTTTTTATAGTTTCCGAGATTTCCTTTTAATATGAATTTAAAACTCTTGATAAAATTATCATAAAAATTTACATAATATACTTTTACATTTTTTTTTAAACGCTTTATTCTAATACAAATTTTGTCGATTTTACGAGATTTTAATTATTTTATAAAAAATTAATTAATAAAAATAATTTTGATTTTGTAAAATGTTTTGAGTTAATTATTCGAGTGAAAACTTCAGTTATTTTTGTTTAAATTTAGCTCATAAAACGGCTACTTTATGTTATTTTATTTTATTTTATTTGCTGTGTTTCAAAATTTTGTAGAATAATGTTCAGAGTCAGACAGTTCAAAAAGTGAGCATCCTTGTTGATCGGCGTAACTTTAACAAGCGCGAGAATAAAGTGTGGGGTCGTTATTGCCGGTAATTTGTACATACGCACGGTGTCATGTGCCATCGATAGGGACAATGACCGGATTATTTCAAGCGTGTTTTCCACCATTGCAAACTAACGTCGACTAACGATTTTTTTCAAATTACTCCAAAATCTTTATAAAATAAATCAATATAAACTCATCATCTGAAGGTTATCCTCTTGATTTCTCGTTAATTGTATTTTTCGATATCGTTCTTGCGTGGGTTTTAATTTTTTTTTTTTTTTTCAAATTTACGTGGGTTGATGATAAATCACAATCATCCGTTTAACTCGTTTCGAAAAAAATACGAATGAATTAAAAATTTGACGAAATTTTTCCATGAGTGAGACTTCGTAAGTGATCTGTCGAATGAATAAAACTGGCAGGCTATTTCATGAGAGTAAGCGCACGCGTAACCGATGAAGATCGTGTGTGGGCGAGTGTGTATGCTGTATATTCGAATGTTACATGTGTGTGTGTGTGTGTGTGTGTGTGTGTGTGTGTGTGTGTGTGTGTGTGTGTGTGTCATGTATGAAAGAGAGCCTGTGAAAGAATAATCAAGTCGCGGCTCTCGTGGGCGACTTAAAAAATTAAACAGAACAACCATGACTTCCGCGAACTCATCATTGTATCTCTTTCTTTTTCTCTTTGCTTGTTTAACTTCGTACTGGTTTACTTACGATTGTTTTTGTTTTATTTTTCTTTTTTTTTTACAAATATTATACGAATAGATTTATAAATATATATCTGTAGCTTTTTTGCTCTATTTTATAGTTTTTTTTTTCTTCTATAAATTTCAATAGGTACTCTATGTGGGTGAGTTGATTTTTTTCGGTTATACATACTTATATTTAAAAGAAAAAGAAAAATTTCTTTGATTACGGCTCAAAACTTTCTAACCCACCCTCGTAGTAAATAATGTGACTCAATAAATCGTTCTCTTTTTGTATTAAAAATAGAAAATAAAAATGAATCGAATCTATGTATTTCTCCATAATTTTAATTAAAAGAATATACTAACACTCGTGAATCCTCTTTGTCTTATTTCTTTTTTATCTAATTTCCAACAAGTTAATTCAATTAATTTGATACACTTATCGATAATTTATGATTTACGAATTATCTAATACCAACATATGGATCGTTGAAATTATATCTTAAAAAATTCATTTTTAAATATTAATCGAGGTATATTTAATCGTAAATTCATCGCACGACGCTCATTCATTACCGTTCTCATTCATTCAATCTATCCATAGGTAGTAAATCTTTATTCGTCTTTCTATTATTTAACCGTTTATTCACCTTGTTATCAATTCGAGTTACGTTGTTGAAAACACGTGATAAAAATCGCAAGTTTTTCTTATCAATCACATCGCTTCGTATCTTTCTTTTGAAAATAATATTATCTTATCGAACGGTAAAACGATTATTATGTTATGTTACGTTTTAATTAACTCGATTTTCTTTTTTCATATTCTCTTTCAATTAGGAATATTGTACAGAAAAAATATTGAATTGCAGCGGAAATATCATGCTGATTTATGAATGCATATATTCGATTTATATTTATAATAAATTATACATATATTTTGTTTCAAAATCAGCAGGAACTTTTCAAATAATCTAGGACTTATGAGAAAGGATATTGAAAAGTTTTGAGTCTCAACAAAAAAACTTTTATTTTTTTTTTTAAATAATAATGAATTCGATCGAATAAAAATTGTTTCAATGTTAGGCTCAAAACTTATCAATTCACCTATTATTAAATCTATTATTAAAATGTTCGAAAAGTTCGTGTTGATTTTGAGAAAAATTGACGTATATTAAAAAATATACACGTATACACATATATGTCCGGATAAGCTAATACAAGTAGAAAAAATTCAGTGACGTTCTTGACCTAGAAGCATATCGTGTAGACGTCCTTGATTCTTCGATTGTTATTTGTTATTCCGAGACGTTGCGAAATAATGACACACACATACACACACGTGTACATACTACATATACGCATATGTGACTATTTGCGATCAGACCGGAAGAACGAAGTCGTTCGTAACAGGAAGTATCTGTTCCCGTGTCCTATGTGTTATATGTGTTTATACATGTGCGATCAGGTACACACGTGTTGTTCTCTTCTGTCTCTCATGTCAGTAAAATTCTACAAAAGAGTCGACCACTCCCACTCGGAAGATGATTCGCTGAGGAATTCGTAGCGGTCCGAAACGGACCGGATCGTCCAACGGTCGTTATATGACAGGGAAAAAGAAAGAACTTATATATGTATACTTCTATATATATTTCTATGCTCCTATACTCGTAGAATCTATATGTGTATATATGTGAGTAGAAGTTATTGTATTCCGGTCACGTATAGCCAATGGTAGTTCGTTATTACGCCTACTTCCGTTCACTCGATGGTTCCATCGAAATGACTACTCCCTTAAATATGCTTCTCCAATGCATCCTGTATAAATATTACAAATAATGTTTTTCCTTACTGATTTCTTTTTGTTTCTATTTATTCTTTTCTTTTTTGTTTGAGATAAATAGATATATTTTTATCTTTTATTAGAGATGATTTGTTATTTTTTCTTTTATTTTATAAGCTAATATGTTTTAATTGTTATTTTCATTTTTTCTTATATAAGACTGTCTTATTTTAATTCGTCCTTTATAATTATCATTATTTTGTCCGATTATAAATGGAAACAACCGAGATAGAATTTTCTTCTATAAAATTTGTATTTTAGAATGTTTAAACGAATGAATAAATAATTTCTTTCTTATTGTTTCTTTAAAATTAGATAGAATATTTTACATAAGATTTAAAACATACAAAATTGGGATATTAATATTATAATTTAAATAGAAACTTAATATAAATTAATTTATAATTTTTTTATTTAAAGGTACAATACTAGAAATTGTTCTAAAATATTTTATTTATTAAAATTTAATTGAATCGTATAAAAACACACAAAAATAAGTTTCATAAATACAGTATTGAATAAATATTTCAAATTTGTGTCAACGTTTATTGTTTTAAACAAAAAATCTAGGATTGTTTTATATTTTGAAAATATGCGATAAAAAATATACGAGGATTACTATAAGCTATGTGAATTTTTTTTTCTCTGTCGTAGGAAACATTTTAAATAGGAAAAAATAAGAAGGAAGTTCTCTTGGCTGTTTAAAACGAGCTTCTATTCTAAAATACCGATGCGCTCTTGCTTGCCTTCCTCGGGATCCGAGGACAGCTGCAAGCGCATACCTGAACGGATCCGGTGCCAGGATTGTATTGTGTATGTAAGATGGTATATTACGTTTATTCGTATTTCAGACAGGGCTGTGACCCTCTTTTTTCATAGAATTTCGAATAGCTACTCTCGATTTAAATACTTATGTTTATTATTTTTCTATTTATGTGAGACATTTAACAAAATTAGAATCACTATATTTTATCAGATTAAATAAATAATTTTTTCAATTTTTTTATTTTTCTAAGAAATAGTTGAAAAAGAAAAGTCAAGTTTTATAAATATAATTACATATATGTGCTATAAACGGACAAATCTTTACGATGGATTAAATATTTTTGTAAGATTAATTTCATACTTCACGCGCAATATTCCGTACGTTAGCATTTCACATATATCATGTAAAAATAAAAAGCTTGTATTAAGATATTCGATGATTAGACAGCGTGTTACGTGTAGATTATGCATAGATCATTGAATAGAAAAATAAACCTTCGTGTACTACTGGAAAGTGACCTAATTATAACATTACTATCGTAGAGAAAGTAGGTTTCAAGAAAATAGGTAATATCAAGTTCGAATAATAATACATAACAAGATTCAGTGCTTTACATTTTTAAAAAGTAATACTATAAAAAATAAAATGAAAAAAATTGAAATACGATCGAAATAGAAAGTAAAGAATAGCGTTTAACTCGACAAAAAGTATCGAATAGTATTCATAGAAAGTTATAAGAACGTAAAAAGAAAGACATATATAATAATATTATATACATATATGCACGGATGACATTAAAAGAAATAAAAAGAATATAGGAACATTTCATTGTCAGTGACACATATGCATGTGTTGCACCAACCTAAAGATGCACTCACGATGATCGTTATACTCCGGTCGGTGTGTAACTCAAAGTGTAAGTGCATTGACTTCTTCTGTTCGATGATAAACGTTCGTCTTCGTGTTCGACGAAGCGTTAGGCTTCTTGGTCTACTAAGATGTTTTCACTTTATAACACCGCAAAAAGAAATGAGAATTAAGTAAGAAAACTTGGCGAGTTTCCTTTTGTTGATAAGAGAAAAAAAAAGAATCGAAAATAGTGAATCGAACAGGAACCACATCTTCCATTTGTGCCCTTCCTTTACCCTTTACTTCACTTTTCTCTTCTTCTTGTTCTTCCTTATGTTCTTTTTCTTCTTTCGTCTCGAGATGGATTTGTCTGGAAGCCGAGCTCATCCTCCAATCCTCTCGACCCTCTTTTTTTCTTTTACCCTTCAACGAGCTTTTCGTTTAGCATCGGGTGGAACATTAAAAAAAGAAAAAAAAATCCACTTATCACTTGAATATATGTATGTAAAGATGTAAGGGATGGTGGAATTAAAAGAGAGTAGGAAACTCCGATGATGGCTCCTAATATCTCGAGGTCACGTCTCTTTCGCTTGGGAACTTTTACCAAGCCCATCGAAAGAGAGAACCTTCTTGAGAACCTTCTTTATATTTTAGATAACATTTTTTCTATAGAACATTCTTAAGTATTTTCAATAGTCTTACTAAAAATTCGAATACACTTTAACAAACACTTGAAAATATTTCATATATATTTAATATATACTGTAACAAATGTTTTAGAATATTTTAGAATATTTGATATATAAAATTTCGATTTTATAATTTAACTTCTTTAATATATATATATACATATATTAAAAGGTGTTTTCTCAAAAACTAAAGACGATATTAATTCAATTTTTATAACAATAAAATAATGCAAAAGGTGGCAAAACAAAATCCTTTAGCATGTAGCAGATTTTGTTGAGCCCATGTTTAGAGAACATTATAAAAATGTTTCGATTTTTTTTTTTTTATATGGAAGATGATATTCAACTTTTTTTTTATTATATTGAGATATAATAGAACTAATATTATCTTTCATTTAAAGAATATAGAGGACTCACCTTTTCCATTTCTTTCTCTATTAAATCATTTTCAAAATATCATATCCTCATCAGATATTCTCATTAGATTATGGAAAAAGAATTTGGAATACTTTATTTGAACCATTCTGTATAGTATTACTTAAACTTGGCAAATATTAACTTTCTAATATGAACTAATAATTACTTTTATTGCAAACTGATGTAATAAGAAAAACCATACATGTATAACTTGAATTTAATGTACGATTTAAAAGATATTCAAAAAAACAATTTGTCTGTTTTCGAGGGCAACTGGTGTATCAGTTGTGCGAAGTATGCTCCAATAAATTTAAACGACGATACAATTTCACGTTACTTATTTACTAACTCGATACGCTTCGATTATCGTTTCATACAAGTCATCCAGGCTAGTCACTAGTTTATGAAAGAAAAATTGAATGCACAGAACGCGGTACTCCGTAACGTTATGTAGTTTCACAGCATTCGCCATTATTAATATCCTTCGAGATATTATGATACAGTAGTTGTGAATTTATCGTAATGGTGAACATTAGTGCGAGACTAGTACCGCGTGAAAAATATATTATAATAAATCTTGAATAATCATTCAATGGCGTTTAATTCATTTTATAATCGACTTTTACTAGTATAATAATAAAATATTATAAATGTAAATAAATTCAATCTAAATATATTTTACTGTAATATTTTTTTCACATAATATAACAATTAACAATAAGATATTAATAACGAAACAAATGGTTACAAACGATTTCATTTAGATAAATTTTTTTTATTACTCATGCGAGAAAAGTACTATCTTTGCGGTCGCTATGACTCGCTTCGCTTGTGCGCACAACTTCGCTCTCGAGGGCAATCGACAACTTTTCGCACTAGTTGCACAATATACTATATCTTCATTCGACTGTATTTTGATAATAATTTGTTATTATTATTTTTTTCTTTTGTAATTAAAAAGACAATAGAGTATCAATAATTTTTCAATGATTATTCTATACGATGAATAAATAAGGACGTTACCGGCTAGACGATTTCCTGCAACGATAACCCTTTCCCGCATCATCGAGTTATTAGAAGTTATCGTGCAGCGGCCGCGTAAGGCAGGATACAGGTTCTTTAAACGCAGCCGAACGCAATTAATTAGAGCCGGATGCGGCGATTGACCTCTGGGTGGTTCGTCGGGGACCATCCGGAGAGTAGTAGTCCCTTTATTTTGAACTCTTCCCAACTTTATCGTCGTGCCGTGATCGCAAACCCGATCCCGTTCGGTTCGAAGGATCTATGCGGGTCATCCTCTTGAGACGTGCTCTTCCTTTGTTATGTGCTAATCAGTTTTATTTAAATATTATACATATTCCTATATAACAATGAATTCGAGTATGAATGAATGAATTCAAAAACATTTCAATTAACAAAATAATGTTCACTATATTTATTAAATATAATTAATTAATATTTTTAATAAATATTTATTTCGAATCTAATGTATAGTTCAAATATGAACGAAAAAATGTGTAGTGTAAGATAAGAGAAAAATTTTTCTTAAAAAATCTTTCTGCAAAAGAAATGGCGTTTTTTTTTTAAGGAAAAGGATCATGACACTTCGGTGGTCCAGCATGACAGTATGAAGCATAGTAGACGACAGACCATTCGGTATTCATCGTCTTCGCTGTATTGTTTATGAGTGAATGGCAGGAACACAAAGAGGAACGCATGAGATATGAACGCATTCCTGGGCATATACCGCGATATCCCCCTTCGCAGGAAAGCATCGAAGGCAACGTAGAAGGGTCTCGGAATGAATGGAAAAGCGTTTCCTTCGCGCGAAACTGTGGGAGCGTGAAAAACGCTTCGGGGTGCATATTTTAATCCTGCGGCGCGACAGAGAAAGTCGGAGTGTTCAGTATCCCTCTATCTCTTTTTTCTCTCTCTCTCTCTCTCTTTCTCTCTCTATGTCTATCTATCTTTTTACCCTTTTTTAAAGAAAAATTGCATCTTGTTAGTCAACGTTATTTTTAATTTTATTTTTATTTCTTTTATCTTTCAATTGTAGCAACTTAATTTAAAAGTGCTTTTATTGTTTTAGATATATTTTAAGCTTAAAAAATGATAACACATTTAATATATTTACAACATTTTGTATGATTTATTGGAAAGTTATTTCTTATGTAGTAATATTTTGTAGAAAATATTTTGTTAACTTTACCAATGTTTTATTATATTTCGGTTCTTTGCATAAAATTATACACAATTATTTTATAATTATGAGTACAATAGAATCTTGATTAATCAGCGTGATTGGGGAACAAACAAAATGAATAAATTAAGTTCCTATTGTGCACTCGATTCGATTTTTGAACGTTTAGTAATAAAAAATAAATAACAATCTGTCAACCTGAATATTCGTTAAAAACCATAACATAAAGAATAACGAAGACTTTAATTAATCGTTGTCCCCTTGTATATTTCTCAGATCTTTCATTAACGTTTAGTTGAACTTTAAAATAATATTATAATATTTGAGTTAATGATAATGATAGTGATTTAAAAGTCAAATATATAGATTCCATTTTTACTTATGACACAATTTATTTTGTCGATAAATCTAGTCCAGTCATATAAGTAATCATCTTTGTTCAGAATAAAGTATTCTAAAGTAAGAATTTCACAGCTAGAGGAGGAGGCCGAAGTTCTTAAAACAAATGCGAGCGAAGAAGGTGCTCTTTTAGAGTGAGGGAAAAAATATAAAAAGAAAAAAAAGGAGAAAAGACATAAGGAAAGAAAGAGAAAGAAGGAAGAGAAAGTAGAAAACGTCTCATAAGGATGCAAGAGGCGAATATAACGAGCATCCAAGATCTATGCGCTGAGCTACTCCTCTTTCTTCTCACGATCTCTTTTTCCCACGAAAAGCGACTTTACTATTACTATTACGTTTCTCCTTCTTATTTTTCCTCTTCTTCTTCTTCTTCTTCTTCTTCTTCTCTCGCGATAAACTACACGCTTATTTTATCCTTTTCTTCTTCCTTCTTTATTTCATTCTTTCTTCCTTTTTATTCTTTTCCTCCTACTCTATCTCCTCCTCCTCCTCC